CGTGCTGGCTGGGGGATTCTGGAAGTTGAAGTCCACGTGTCTTAAAGTTGCCAAGTTTGAGAAACACTGAAATAAATATGAATGCTGTTTCTTTTTGGCTGCATTCCAACTTCTTTCACACCTGGGTATATTTATGCATTGCGTAGATCGTAGAGTTGGAAGCAAACGTAGAAATCACCTGGTCCGCTCCCAGCGTTTATAACCCATTTCCCTCTCAGAAGCTGAAGGCAGCTTACCTGGTGCACCCCTTATTTTTTTTCTCACACAGTAACTCTCTAACTGAGTGTGTTTAATACTAAGAGGGATAGACGATAGCAGTCTTTGCCTGTAGGACACCAAATACTGGATTTCAGTTCTAGGAAGGCTGACTCTGATGGAAGGTTGTGAAAACTGCCTTTAAGGTAAAAAAGAGTCGGACAGTGGGACCAGTGACCCAGAGAAGTGGGTTTCCCTTTGCTGGATGTGTCCAAACAGAGGCTGGAGAGCCATTCATCCTGGGTGCTTTAATTAGATGATGCATTGAGCACAGGGTGCCCTCAAGACTCCTTTGCATGGCAAGCCATCCCGGGTGTTTCTGTCCCTGCTTTGTGGAACGGGTGAAAGTCTCCCCCAGGAACACGCAGGCTCTCCCCAAAGGCCTTTCGGGAAGGCAGCAGCGAGGACTCACAAGGCCGGCCTTCTGTTTTGGCAGGGCTGGTGGAACACGGGCGCAACTGGGCGGCCATTGCCAAGATGGTGGGGACAAAGAGCGAAGCCCAGTGCAAGAACTTCTACTTTAACTACAAACGGAGGCACAACCTGGACAGCCTTCTTCAGCAGTACAAGCAAAAGGTGAGCAGGGCCTGGGGGTGGGGCAGGCAGGTGTGGCGTGGCGTGGGGTGAGTCTGGAGAGAGAGGAATGGCTGCCTGGAGGAAGAGGGAATGGATCTGTTTCGGCCATCTTCATCCAGAGGGACTCCAGAGGAATGGGGCTTCCCATGCTGAGAATCCTGGGCCTTGTTGTCCCAACCCCTTTGGAAGACCCCAGGTTGCTGTTTAAGGTATCGGTGGAGGCAGGCCGTCCAAGTTAGCCCCCCCGGGCTGAAGCAGCAGGTGCCGTCAGAAGCTTCACGGTCTCCCTTCCTTTCTAGTTATCGCGAAGGCCACGCGAGGAGCGGGAAGTTTCCCAGTGCGAGAGCGTGGCGTCCACCGTCTCCGCACAGGAGGACGAGGACATCGAGGCCTCCAATGAGGAGGAGAATCCCGAAGACAGTGAAGGTGGGTCCAGATGTTGGGCCTCCAGGCAGAGCGGTCTGGTTTGCAAGTGTACCCAGCGGCCTTGGTGATGGGTGATTTTTAAGGGGAGGGTGAGCAACTTGGTTGGCCCGGCCAAGCAGGGCAAGCAGGTCCAAATTGTAGCCATCTTTCCTGTGTTTTCATACATTTTAAGGATCTTCGGTGTCACCCACAGTTTAAAACAAACGAAATCCTGTTAGGTGCCAAATTCCACAGTCAAAGCATTCCTCCATTTTTCAGTATGATGAGAAAAGGGTGTATAGTCTCTTGCTTTTGAAAACAGGCAGCGGAGAATAAAAACTGGGTGAAAGTCTACGGTGCTTTGATTCACAGATTTGATTAGAAGCAGATTCAGTGCAGATTCCAAAGCAAATCTGCTTTCTGAACCGAACCAAAATTTTCAAACTGAATCACGTACCCCCAAGCCAATTCAACAGTTGAACTCATTTCCCTTGGTTAGATCGCTTAATGTTGGCTTGAAATCAGACGGCGACCCTCAACCTATAATTTTAAGTTTTGCTAACTGATGATAAAGAAGTTCTTGTGATCCAACATTATTCTCGTGACGTTCCTCATGAAGACAATTAAAACTCTAGGATTTCATGGGCAGAACACTTAAATAATTACTTTGCTATGGTTTTAAACTCTACTCCGGCTTTAAATTTTAGGTTGTGTATCATAGAAGATAGGAGGTTTACAGAAAAAAGCAAATGCCTTTATTTATTTATTTACTTATTTTTCAAATTTATAACTACCCATCTCACTGTGGAGTGCCTTTAACATTCTAAGTAATTTAATCAGTAAAAACCTTAGAATCTGGAGCACCCACAGCCTCAAATAAAAGAAATACTCAGCTGAGTACTACTTCCAGCTGGTTTGATGCAGATTGTGCCAGTATTAAGAAGAAATTAAGAGTTTTATACCTAGCATACAGAAAATCTAATTTACAACAGCCCCCCCTCAAGTTATTAGAAATTGAAGAAACACTATAATCCACTAACGTGCCAGAAGAAACAGAAAGCAGAGATCCCTGGTCACTTTTAATAAATGCATCTCTGTACAAAGACTCTTTTGGAATTTAATTTAATTTAATTTAATTTCCAGGGCTTTCATTGCTTCCTCGGTCCCAGATTGCGGCACAACAATCATATAAAAAGACAATTATAAAAACTAAAGAAAAAACATTAAAAACCACATTAATAAATACCACAAATGTATTTATTTTATTTAGCTGCCCATATTGTAACGACAACCCTGTAAAAACCACAGAATCGTCCTCCAAACCATCAAATAAAAATCAGCAAAAACTCTATGAAAGGCAGTAGGCTTGAGGCACTAGTCAAGAATTGCCAAGAAAATCCAACTATGATAAAACTAAACTTTTGGCATAGCTGGAAAATTCAAGGTCATATGATAACACAAGTGGAGAATTTTAGCTATCTGGGCATTTTATTTAACCATGCTCTCTCCTGGCAACGTCACTGCAAGGCCATACTTCTGAAAGCAAAAGCTGCTATGATGGCCTTGTTTCAATACTTTAATTCAAAAAAGGGGGGTTGGGGATTTGTCCTTGCAGCAATACAGGTGTTTTTTTTTTAAATTGCATCTCAAATTTAATGTGGCACACTCCAATTTGGATTACATTTGGCAATAATAACATAACCCAACCACAGGTGAAATTTTTACGATCTCTTCTTAATGTTCCAGGCGGTGTTCCAAACTCTGTTACTGTCCTGTAAGCCAGGCAGTGCCTGTTGAAAACACAAGCTTAGCTAAATTAAGATTTGGTGGCAAACGCACGTCTTCAAAAACAAGGAAGGATTGTTCCACGCAATACCAGATGATTCTTATATAGATACGTGGTTTAAACAGGTGACCCCCAAATTGATCAGAATGGCATTGATTTGGATTGATTGTTTCCTAGGGGCGTAACACCAGCATTTTATTGCATTAAACAAATATTATGGGATAACTCATTACATGGCGAAAACCAAAGTTCCATGTTTGCCTGTGACTTTGGGAATAAATTACAGCTACACTTTTCAGCTCCCTATATATCTTAGTGGTTTACAGTTAAGTCAATGCAGGATAGCCTTTTCAAAACCTGATAAAGTGTGTTGCCATCAAAGATGCTCTATGGTGGATTTCAAAATATCCCCAAACGCTCAAGGTGTTGTCCCTGTAATGTTACTGACCTTGAAACGGTGGATCATATTTTATCGCACTGTGGATTTTACAAGGCTTTTTGGCAGGATATTCTCTAGCTTACTTTAAAATCAAGGCCAGGAAGAGATATTTCTGAATACAGCATGTTAAAATTTTACTCGCAGATAAAAATCCTAAAATTACAGTGGCCGTGGCCACATTTTTAACCATGGCTCTAAAACCAAGTTGTTAGGAACCCATCATTAGGTTTGAGTTGTAAGTGTTTTGTGTAAAATTTATCCATTTATTCTATCTGTTAAAACTATTTTACGATGCCAAATTTTAGCTTATGCTTGTACTTTGCTATTCGGATCTTTGGGCCATAAATAAAACTAGATGTAATTCAACAATTGGGATAGAGTCAGAGTCAGTTGATCTTTTTCGGCCTTGACCATCCAAGTCAAAGTGATGATTCCAGTAGCCACTTTGCCCACCTTTACAGCAGCTTCCTTTGGCTATTTCACGTGGGAGGGTGGTCCAAGAGGGATGAGCTGAAAGAACGTACAGATTTAAAGAAGCAATAGAAGCCAGTCTCTGATTTCCATGGCTTGTAAGGAAAAGAGCTGCAGCTGTTTTCAGAGGGTGGAAAATTTGGAAGCAATGCCAGTTGCTAGAGCTGGAGGATAGGAGGTAGCAAATTAGGGATCCAGGGCAGGCAAGGATGCTGAAATACATCTTCAGGAAGTTCCAAGGGCTAGGACTTTGACAGAGGTGGGTGATTCAAGCAGGGAGGTTCTAAACAGAAGAAGAGAAGATTGAGTGCAAAAAAGACAGAAGGAATTGGAAAAGCATCTCTGAGTCAGAATCCTGGAGGGGCTTAGCCAGAAAGGCAGCTGAAGAACCAAGTTTCCACTAGGTTTGAGACAGCTGCCGATGTTTGGAATCCTCCACCCCAGAAACAGGAGATCTAGGAGGCATTGGGTCTATCCTTGTGTGTCTTGAGGTGCTGAGGATTAATCGTTCAGCATCCAGGTGAAGCTCCTTAATTACCTTTCCTGTGCTCACACTCAACTTCATGCCTTTTCAGGTGCTGAAAACAGTTCCGATACTGAAAGCGCGCCATCTCCTTCTCCGGCAGAGGTTTCCAAACCTTCAGAGGATGCCCCTCCGGAGAGCAGCTCTTCCCGGATCACCACCGATGTGGCGGCTGAGCAGGACTCTGCCATTAAACCAGCCCCCAGCGCCTCCCCTCCCTCGGCAGCCCAGAGCACGAAGCCGGCTGAGAGCGAAAGCGCCGAGCTGCAGGTGAAGGAGGAAGCCAAGTCGGAGGTGGAGGAGCTGATGGAGACGGAGAGCAGGATCTCGCTGGTCGACACCAAGCCCATCCTCAGCCTTGCCGCCAGCGCCAAAGCGGAGCCTGTGGAGGTCGACACCAAGCCCCCCGGAGACATTCAAGTGAAGGTGGAAAACGAGGCCAAAGAGAGGGAAGAGGACATGCCTAAAGAGAAGCTGGAGCCGGAGGGGGTGGACTTCAGCTCGGGCCACCCGGCCAACGCCCAGAGGATGGAGCCCAGCTCGGACAACGACTCAAGCGCCACTTGCAGTGCAGATGAAGAGGTGGACGGAGAACCCGAGAGGCAGAGGTGAGGTCCCAGGCCCAGCGCGGGCAAAAGTTATCCTCCCTCTCCGCTCCAGAAGACCCCCCAACCTGTATTCTGGCTTACATTGGGCAGCCCAATCCCTGAAATTCCATAAAAACACCTGTTTCTGGTGCCATTCTTCCTGCTGTAAGCGAAAGTCAGATTCAGTCCTTAAACTCTCCCCCCACCTCCTAGGGACTGAAGAATAGGCCACACCCTCTCCAGTGACATCATCACTTCCCCAGTCATCCCACCGCTGGCCTCCAGAACTAATTCAATCATGAAAACGGGCAGCGAGACCTGCCCCCTTCCTGGGGGCACCTTAGAAGGAGCTGTGAGTGCCCCTGGGTGTCGGTTTAACCTGCCTTATCAGTGAACTCAGAAAGGAAAGGAGAGACCTGCCTTTCCTCCACCCCCAACCTGGCACCAAACGAGCTGGCCAAGGCGGGGCAGAATCACCTGTTCTCCTTCGGCCTGGCCGCTCAGCTGTGCAGCCAGCTAGGTCCAGAGCTGTGTCCAGCGCAGCAGAGACAGCCCTCCAGACTCTCTTTCTGTGTTTGCCACCCCTGCCTGGTAGGGCGTGCAAGTAGCCAACTTCCTATTCCATTTTCATTCCTCACTCGCTCACACACACACCCACACACACCCCTCGTTTGCTTCAAAACGTTCTGTGGCGACAGCGGTGCACAAAGAGCGTGGTGTGTAATGGAAAGTTTCCTCTGGCCTTGGAGGCAGTCCACCGAACGGTCACAGTTGGGCTTGCCCTGGAGCGGGCGCTAAATGTCAGAGCGATCGAGTTACTGAGTTCCCCCCACCTTTTTTTAATCGTGTGCGTGTGTGTGTGCGTGCGTGTTTTGGACGAGGGTCTTCCAAAGAACTCTCTCTCTGGCTCTGCACGGGGAGGATCTCTTGCCTGTGAAGATCGAAGCCTCGGTCAGTTTGCATTCAGTTGTCCAGAACAGAGATTAGCGTTGCTTGGGTGGCTCGCACGTGCGGTTGTGTCCTCCCTGACCCGCAAAAGGCATCTTCTTAAGAAAGGCAGAGGATGCCTGGGGGGTCTCCTAGCCTCCTCCTCCTCGCCTTGCCCATTTGCAAATATTGACCGCTTTGAGGTGCAGGGGCTTGGTGAAAATGCCCGCTGTGCTGATCCCGGTGGTAGCACCATGGTCATAACCGGTCCTTGAAGAGGGAGGGCGTGTTGATGACCAAGGGCTGTCGATGCGGTCCTGCTAGATGTTTTTTTTTTAAGTGACCGTCGCTGAGGTTTGTTGACGCGAGTCAGTCTGCTTCCCTGAGAAATGATAGATCCCCATTCATCACCTCGTTGTGTTTTAAAGACCTGGTTTGTTCCTGCCTTGAACTGATGTCTTACATTTTGGATGGAGGCCTTTTCTGAGAAGTGTCAGTGACCCCTGTGCGCTTTCCCTCCGTGCCAACCCTGCCTGAAAGCATTTAGTAGTAATAATACTAGATTTAGTATTTCAAGAATAATTTCCGTAACAAAGAAATGATAGAAGAGGTGACCTAGGTCAGGGTTCCTCAACCTCAGCAACTTTAAGATGGGTGGACTTCCCCAGGCTGGCTGGGGAATTCTGGGAGTTGAAGTCCACCCATC